TCGAGTGTGCGTGGGGGCGTGGCTGAAGTGCATCGATCCGGGCGACTTGGGTACCACTCGTGCCCGCGATGCACCGCTGCGACATCGTCACCGCCGGTGGAGGTTGGAACCGGAACTCCGAGGGTGATTTGACCAAAAATTATCACCCGGTGCCGGCCGGTGTGTGCGGTGCTGCCCACACAGTCAGCATACAAACGTGTATCTCATTGACCTTAATTGGTGCTCTCCATTGTAACTTTACCAACTGCATCATTTTGCTGATGGGATGCTTTTATTATTTAAGTTGAGATGCAGGAGTATCGTCTGCTTGTAGATTTTTCGATTATGTTATTTTAATGATTACGCTTCACCCAGGACAGTCTTTCTTTGTTGTACGGTGGGTCCTTCTGTGTTTTTGCAGTCGAGGGCGACGTGTGTTGCGATGTGCGATCCAAATTGAGTGATGTCGCAGGTAATTTTTCATCATTGCGATGTTTGTCAATTCCAAAAGAAGACCTTTTGACTGTGCTAGTGTGCATGCCTATGCACGTATGTATATTATGTATGTACGTGTATAAGTGTGCGCGTGTATTATTGGCACAGTGGGGAGCGCAGGTGGCATATCGCCCAGTCATCTCAGTCAGTTAACTCATAGCACCTGGGTCCATCCAGTGACCTCCTGCCAGCGAGCCTTCCACACTTAACGCAATAGTCTCAAAGCGCACTTAGCCTGGCACGAGCGCTGTGGTGACATCACAGCCACTTTGTGGCAGTTAGCGGTGGCTGCTGACGCTGTTGTTGTTGTTGTGTGTTATTGTGCGTGTGTTTTTCTGTGTCTTTGTGCATGTGTGTGAAAGCCAACAGTGGTTGGACGTCGGCAGTAGTTGTGACCAATGGGAATAACTTTTGATGCGTGCTGTGGCAGCACTCCTCGGTGGGGTTTGTCCACGTGTCCGCCGAGGATTTGTGGCATTGTACAATAACCTACGGGCGCACGTGAGTGAATTGCACGAAGACAGACTTCCCAAACCCCCTTGGTGTACAGGTCTTGGGTTTGATCCTGGAGTTTGCATGTTCTCCCCGTGGTCGCGTGGACTTTTCTCCAAGTCCTCTGTTTTTTTCCACCCCTCCACATTTTGGATCACGTGCTTAAGAGTATTTGGCTGCTTTACATTTCCAAATGATATCATTTGTGGCCAGGTCAATTCTGAAAAAGAAGCTATATAGCTCGGTGGGCTTTATCTGGTAAAATAAAAATAGTTTGTTTTTGTTAAATAGTTTTAAGCGGAGCCGACCATGTGGGCGATCATACTATTGTGTCCGTGTTTGTAGCGCAGTGTGCTAACCACTTCACCACCGCTGCACGCTCACACATAGATCAAAGACAAAGGTCCCCCGTATAGCCTTAATAGACTGTTGTGGCAAGTGCTGTTAGCGAGCACCTATGAAGGCGGGTACGGCACATGAGGGTGTGGGTGGCCAACACCACGCCCGGCCGCCTTTGTCTCCCCAGTGGCGATGTTTACACATCGCACTGGGTACTCATTTGAGGCCGAGTCGACCTAGGGGAGCCCCAGGACCGGTTCAGATAATCGTCGCTGGCGTTGGCCATGAGCGGGAATCGAACTCGGGACGCCGGGTTCGTAGCACAGCGCGCTAACCACTACACTATCGCTCCCCACTCACACAACCGCCATTCGCCACGAAGTGGCGGTGACGTCACCACTGTGCTTGTGCCAGGCTATGTGCACCTTGAGGCCACGTGAAGTGACGAACACGCCCGCTGGCAGGAGGTCACGGGGCAGACCCAGGTGCCACGGGTCGACTGACCCACACACACACACGCACACTTACACGCCGGTGAGTGGCAAGGCCGTGCTATTGAATGGTGGCCGAGAGGAGCAGTAGCTGAGGGGGAGTGGACTGCTCATGGAGGAGGAGGAGGAAAGGGGTGTGGGGGTGGATGGTTATTTTGCAGCGACGGCCGCGGCGATGGCGGCGGCGACGGCGGCCATCAGTCCCCGCAGGGCGTCGCCCGCTCGTCGGATGCCGATGTAAATGAGGGGCCGGGCGCGGTGCACATTAGCTGCCAGCTGCCAGCCCTGGCGACTCGCTGGGATGCCAGACTGTCGGCATTAATCGTGACGCGACTGGCTGCCTGACAAATGAGCCCCGCGTTTTACATGCTGTTTGTAATTATCCCCCGCGCAACAGCCAGCGCGTGCGGTGCGCTCGCCGTGCCTGTCCCGAGACACCCACCCTCCTCTCCCCCCCCCCTACCGGATTTATTCTTTCTCCCCCTACATGTGTATCCTGGCCGGCCATTCTCGGCCACCCACCCAGCTTACCCGGCCACCCAGCAGGGGACAGTCCACCGGTTACTCGGTCGGCCAGTCAATCAGCTGGTCAGTGGGTCGGTGGCCCAGTCAATTGCTTCGTTAGCTGGCCAGTCAGTGGCCCATTCAATTGGCCAGTTGAGGCTGGTCAGTGGGACAGTTAGTCGGGCGGTCAGTGGGCCAGTTAGTAGGCCGGTGAGTGGGCCAGTTAGTAGGCCAGTCATTGGGCCAGTCAGTTGGTCAGTTAATTGGCTGGTAAGTGGGCCAGCCAATCGGCTAGTTAGCTGGCCAGTCATTGGCCCAGCCAATTGGCTAGTTAGCTGGCCAGTCAGTGGGCCAGTCAGTTGGTAAGTTAATTGGCCTGTCAGTGGGCCACTCAGTTGGTCAGTTAGCTGGCCAGTCATTGGCCCAGCCAATTGGCTAGTTAGCTGGTCAGTCAGTGGGCCAGCCAATTGGCTGGTTAGCTGGCCAGTCAGTGGGCCAGTAAGTTGGTCAGTTAGCTGGCCAGTCATTGGCCCAGCCTATTGGCTAGTTAGCTGGCCAGTTGGTCAGTTAGCTGGCCAGTCAATGGGCCAGTCAGTTAGTCAGTTAGCTGGCCAGCCATTGGGCCAGCCAATTGGCTGGTTAGCTGGCCAGTCAGTGGGCCAGTCAGTTGGTCAGTTAGCTGGCCAGTCATTGGCCCAGCCAATTGGCTAGTTAGCTGGCCAGTCATTGGCCCAGCCAATTGGCTAGTTAGCTGGCCAGTCATTGGCCAAGCCAATTGGCTAGTTAGCTGGCCAGTCAGTGGGCCAGTCAGTTGGTCAGTTAGCTGGCCAGTCATTGGCCCAGCCAATTGGCTAGTTAGCTGGCCAGTCAGTGGGCCAGTCAGTTGGTCAGTTAGCTGGCCAGTCTTTGGCCCAGCCAATTGGCTAGTTAGCTGGCCAGTCATTGGCTGAGCCAATTGGCTAGTTAGCTGGCTAGTCATTGGGCTAGTCAGTTGGTCAGTTAATTGGCTGGTCAGTGGGCCTACCAACAGGCGGGACCCTCAGCTTGTCATGGTTTGCCATGGTCACGTTCGGACACAAGGCACCCGATTGCGTTGTGTACAAATAAACTCCTTTAAAAAGTTTTTTGTTTTAAAACAACGGTTTTATTTTAAAGTGCACTAAAAAGTAAATAACTCGATTGGACAATGGGAAGTGGACGACATCTTGATGACAAGAGACACGCGGCGCCTGCTTCTTGGGCGAGGCGATTCCAGAGTTTAGGGACCGCGGCGTTTTTGATGTACCCAAAGCAATATTTAATTAATAAGCCATCCATACAAAATGTTAATTGCTTTAAAAGAGCCAATTAATTGATGAATTGATGCCGATTTTGATACAGGCATGCATTGTCCCCGCATCTGAGTACTTGTCCACAATTTGGAATTCATTGGACAACAGGAAGTAGACAAACTTTTCATTACAAGATTTGACCACAACAAACATAGGAGTCCAGTTAAGTAAAACCGTTGAGAAAGACAAAATCATTCTTCAGGCACTTGTGTAATTTTTTGCATTACTGGGTTGTGCTGCTCTGATCGTTCAACTAACTTCAAGTTCTTTCATTATTTTTTTATCATGTTGTGGTTAGTGGGGCAAAGTTCACAATCTGAACGTTGTGATTTTCACAAATTCTTCTCACCTATGAGGTTGATGAAAAATTACTTTGTGGCTGAAGTTCAGTGAACCCTCAGCTCCCATAAGCCACACGGCCTTCTGGGAGTTGGTTTAATTAAGCAAGCCTGCCTCGGTTGATGAGACGCTGAATGTCGAAGCTGGTCCAGAGTTTTCTTGTATTAAACTGAAAGCCATGCGGCTGGAGGGATGTATACAAAAAAACACACACAAGATTTCTATCGTTTATGCAGGGAGACAATTATAGGTAGAGGAGTCGTTTTGTCAACTTATTTGGATTGTAACCAGGGCCCTCCATAGGGGAGGTGCGGGGCCCGGGGCATATCCCACCGTGTGCCCCCCCCCCCGCTGCCAACGCTTTCAAACTAAACTGGAAGCATTACATCTGACACCGTGATGTCGAAGCGCGGGCACCCCCCCCCCCCCAAGCGCGGGGCCCGGGGCTGTCGCCGTGTACCCTAGGGATGACCCTTCATTTTAACGGTGGTCGAGGGAGTTGCGTGGCGCTGATTCCCTCGTGCTCATGCTGCGCTTGGCTGTGAACCCTTCCGTAAACCTCCAGAGAAGATTTTAGATCCCATCGATTTTTTTTTGCCCCTGGAGAAGTTAAATTTAGACAACACAAAATGCGTGGATTAAGCACTTCGTGTTGTTAAAAGTGACTAAATACGCACAAAATTCGCCTCCTTCGCATAGCTTTCCCCTCCACGTGGCCTTCAGGGCGTGCATAATTTTGCTAATGGGATACTTTTATTTTATAAGTGGAGATACACGAGTATCGTCTGCGTTTAGATTTTGTCGATTGTTATTTTAATGATTACGCTTCACCCAGGACAGCTTCGAGTCTTTCTTTGTTGCACGGAGGATCCTGCTGTGTTGTTGCAGTCGAGGGCGACGTGCGTTGCGATGTGCGATCCAAATTGAGTGATATCGCAGGTAATTTTTCATCATTGCGATGTTTGGTCAATACCAATTCCACTGCGTGGCTTGAGCTAAATGAAACCCGGTGATTGTTTTTTTTTTGTGTTTTTTTTTTCAAGCCGGCTCGCGTTTTGGTTGCGGAGGCACCGCCCCCTGCGTTTGACTCGCGACAAGACAGGCCGCGTGACTGCTCCAGGTTATTTGGCGTCCGCAGGGCGCTGCCCTCGCCTGCCTCGTGACCCACGTCGAGCTGCGCCGGTGAACGCAGGTGCGGCGGCGTTCGCTCGGCACGAAGCCACGCCGCCTCATGGCGTGCGCTAAGCCAAGAGACATTGGAGGGAGATCCTGCGGAGTTTGTTCCGTGGCCTCTCAGGAGCTACAACGCTGCGTGGTGGGGGCAGGGGGGCGGGGGGCGGGGGTGGGGAGAGGAGAGGAGAGGAGTTGGGGGCGGGGGGGAGAGGTAATTCTTTCAATTTGTGCCCAAAAATAACTCCAATACTTGAGATGTCGTTGAAGCAAAACAAAGCTAAACGTGAGCACGTGTGAGCGGTTACAGAGTTGAAACGCATGAGCGAGTGCAGCACAAACGAATCTTACCGCGTCAGTTTCCCGAGGGGGGGGGAAAAAATAAACACAACACGTCAGCGAAAGACACGGCACGGGAGCAAAACGATGACTGCAACCTACCTGAAAAATCCGGTGACTCTATCCGGCACAATCATCGCGCACCCGTCTAATCGGGGGAAACGCCACGCTGCGACTTTCCCCGCGGAGCAAAATAAAACCGTGCCGCACGCGGACGGGAGTCTTCTTTCCCGCTCGCCCCGCCTCTCCGTCTCCCTCTCTCTCTCTCTCTCTCCGCGCTCATGTACTGGTTTCAGTCTCCCACTCGGCGCGCGGGAGGCACAATCAATCACGGGCGCAGGCTGCGAGGAGTTTAGTGGGATATTTTGTAGAATGAATAAAATATCACGCTGTGAGATTTGATGATGTGATTCATCAACCTTTATTGTGGCCTACAAGTGGTGTGTACGGTGAATTATTGGCGCGACGCGTGGTCCCTGAGACCTGGCGTGTTAATGTCGCCTTGTGCTTTTCTTGATGTCGCCCGGAGAAAATATATATGTGTGCGCGCGTGCACGCGTGTAAGCGCGCGCGTGAGTGCAGATCTGTCTATTGGTCTTAACCCCGGCTCCATTGCGGCGTGGTGAAATGCTTTTGCCGTGGAGGGAGGGAATGTTGTAATTGTGCGCTCAGGACTACAATGATCAGGATCAGATTGTATTAAAAAAACCCGACATCTCGGACTGGCAAAAAGGAAGAAGTCGAAAGTGGTTTCCTGGCCAAACAAGCGTGGTGGAGGTACCCGTGTCCTGTTACAGATTTGACTGAACCAGTGGAGACAATTCCACAGTGTTATGGTTGGGGATACGTCTATCCATAGGATGACCACTGTCATTGAATGTGCAGGTATTCACAGCCGATATGATGATTCGTGGTTGATTGTCACGTTAGGCCATGCAATGCCATTGCGTGACCTAACCCTGACCCGCCCCTATTGGACATCTGTAAAGAAGAGCTTGATAGCTCATCGGATTTCGCCAGGATAAATAAATATTCTGATTCTCACCCAATAGTCAACTCTGACGATCCAATCAATGTCAGATTTTCGAAAAATCGGTGCTCATTTTGTCAGCCCTCGAGGTATGATGGGTTGAGCAGATTGGCCCATCTGTGAAACTGGACGTAGCTGATCGAATTTCTCCAGCATAAATAAAAGATTCGGATTCCGGGATCTCCATCCGAGAGGTTATCACACGTTGAATCGTTGGCACGATCAGCAATGTTAGGTCAATGTGCGGACTATTTCGCATGCCCGTCGTCACGTGGTGTGAAAGTGGAGTTGGTGGATCATGTGGGGGATGGAGCTGTGTAGAGTGTGCGAGATGCCCACCTGCATGTCTATGAGGCGGTACCTGGAGCATGAAATACAGAAAATAGGTTTGTAGTAGACCCCCCTGTGTGGTGGACTTTGAGTGTATGCTTGATCACACGTGTGGGTATGCGTTCACGTTTCAGAGTAGCTAAGTCACGCAGGTTACATCACCCGTAACATTTGGGTCCGTTCCACAGCATCTTGCCAATGAGTCTTCGCCACTCCACGCGTCCTGAAAGTGCACCTCGCCTGGCATGAGCGCTGTGTTGGCATCGGCACAATTTCATGCTGAGAGCTGTGTTGGTTGTTGTTGCTTTTGGGGGCACGGTCGTGCGGGAGTTGTGCGCACTGCACTACGATACCGGCACCCTCGAGTTCCATTCGCAGCCAGGGTGTGCATTGACAGTGGTGTGTGGTGTCTGTCCTCCTAGGGCGACTCAGCCTTAATCGGCACATTCTACGGAATGTGAAACTCGGCACTTGGGAGAGAAATGTGGCTGGGCACGGTACTGGCCGCACATGCCTATCACCTGCAAGACCGTACAGGGGATATTTGTGTTTGTGAGTGCGTGTGCAGCTGTGTTTGTGAGCTGTGCGTGGCGTGAACACAAACTCGGCGACTTCGGTTCACTTCGCACGATCGGGGCATTCCGCAACACCACGTGCTTCCGCGAAGCACGCGCAGCAATAAGTGATGCGCCCTTCGCCAAACGGAGCGGGGTGCACTTGTACGCAAGACGTACGCGGAGCGACGCAGCTTGCGTGCTTGAGAGCGGACGCTCAATAACGCCGGCGCCATCCCTGCGTGCGGGGCTCCGCGTGCAGATTAATGTTGTGGTCCCGCGGAAAGATGGTCAGAGGGACAGACGCTTGTCCCCCTTGTAAACGAGCCGTCAGCCGGCTCGTTCCCGATCCAGGCCCCTCGTAAAGAGATTTCTTTTGGATTCCCGATGGCCAAGTGGCCCGGCGGCACGTGGGGCTCATAGATTGGAAACTCACGTTCTTCACAACTGCTTTTTGTGTTTAGTTTGTTGTCCTTTCCCCGCACCTCCGATCAGCATGGTTGGCTATGTACGGTGCGAAAGACGTTCAACATACGTACATGACGACTTCGTCAGAGTGGCGGGGCCTGTGCCCCTGAAAGTCTGGACCTGGGTGCGGACAACGGCCGCCCATGGTTAAACCGGGTTTCGGGGAGTTGGCGAGCTTTGATGAGCTCGGCCCGGTTGCCGTTGACTGATCGTTTTTCGTGAGAGGAGATGAAGAAACATGATTGAGTTGTTCATGCCCCTTTTGGCCGACGCTGCAAGGAGAAGGCGTTCGATTATTCTCGCGCTCGGCCGAGGAACGCGCAGTGTGCTGCTGCATGCTCGTACACACTGGCACTTGTGGAAGGTTGACTCCTATCAATCACACCGTCATTGGTAAAGTGAGTTCCAGTTTGGGTGAGGCGGTTGCTATCCGTTCGGATCCGTTCGGATAGCTACTGCCTTAGTGCTGAGTGGAAGCGAATCATCAAATGATACATTATTTAAATGCACGCCTACAAAGGGCAGCGTACTTCAATAGGGATTATTGTTGGTACGGCTATTTTAATGAACACAATAGGCAGGAAGGACAAGTTCAAAGGGCTCGCATAATGCACATGCATAATGTACGTAGCCTCAGTAATCCCCCCGCCACACACATTGTGCCAGATCGCAGAAGCGTGGTCACCACATCTACGCCTCTATATGAAGAACGAAACAGTTGGACTTCTCCATAAATCTGGCTGTCGCCTGATGAAGCTAGTTGTAATTACTGGCGAAACGTCATACTCAGATTGTGATTGTTGTGGCTTGGCTCTCTAACACACCAGAGTGTTGTACTCATGACGAATTGGCATGTTTTGTTTACGTGACAAATCTTACTATTTGGCCATGTCGGGTGGTGGCGGGTTTAACGACACATTTATATATTTACGCGATCTAACCCAAAAAAACCTCTTATGGAGTACCAGCTGGTTGAATGTCAATAATGGTCCTCCTTAAGCAGACTGGCCCCCACTATAGGAATGTGGAATATCCACCTCTGACTTTGGAGTTGGCGGTGCAGGCCATCACTGCCTCAGTGCTTCAAGCAGGAACATGATGACGTATACTTTAGTCTTGGCCCTTGAATATTTTCAATGATAATTATCTGCATTCCTTTGGCAACCTGCTGCTGGGCTAAAGCCTCTCTCTACCATGTAGATGATGGGGGGGGGGGGGGTCTGTATGACCATACTGCACCACGCTGGTCCCACTGCGGCCTTGTGAAGGGAGGAGGCCCAGGACCGGCTCAGCCGCCGTTTTCTGCTGAAGTTCGTCTCTGCCGTGCATGGCGCGGTGCACTGACCTCTGTGCCGCTGGTTCTCGTAAGATATACGCAGCCAGTCCGCGTGAATTTGCGGTCAAATTAAATGAATTTAAGTGCCCAGGTGACTCACATTGCACAAAGGGGGCGGCGCTAAGCGCGTTAAAGCATTTGCAAATGGACCGTCCCCTCCATCGCAGACGCCAGCCCCTCTGAAGGGCACGCTGTTCTTCAATTCATTGGAATGGCCTCCGTTTAATCAGGTGGGAGCCCACCGAGATTCATTATCTGCATTTGCAATAGAAACTTGGGTGAGCGTGTTGAGGTTGGGACGGTGATTATTGTGATTGCCTTGCCCACGACTGCTCGGTCACCCAGCCTCGGGCCATGCTGCCAAACAGCCGCCCATTAACCAATGAGAAGCCCTTGCTCGCCCGAGCCCCAGCCCTAACACGCTGTGTTTTAACTCTTGAGGCTGAACAATAAGCCTGGGTTTTAAGCTGTTAACACTAACCTTGACCTCCAAAGCTGATGCTAAATTGACCTTTTAACCACAGCAGTAACCCTAACCATTAATCCGTGAACACGCCATAATCCCCTAACCCTATTCCCAACACGAACCTTGACACTGACACTTACCTTTGACTGCTGACACCAACAGCTCACACTGATCTCCAGCGCTAAGCCTTTACGCTAACCCCTGCTGCTGAGCGTAAACGCTAACCCTAATCTCCCAGCACTAAACTGTCAATCTCTCCCCATCCATAGCTCGATTCCTAACATTGGTTTAACTTGAACCGTAAATATTCAGCGTAATACTGAGCTTCCTCCACACGATCCTCAACTTACTATCCCTAACGCACGTCTTCCTGCAAACAATTTCTTAACCGTAGCCACCAATCCGCGCTCTGGATGTAACTCCTAACCCTAATCGCCCAGGTTACCCGTATGATACTGAGTGATTGGATGACCGACCGACTGGGATGTCTGTCATTTCCTACATCTCCCGCCCCAAGCCCTCTCCTGCCTTCCCACTTGACAACAGCTGTTACCGACATCTGCATTGATGAGCACAAATATGACCCTTACTCTTAGGCATGTAATGATATATCTATTCAAATAACTGCGAAGGCTCGATGGTAAATGCATCGAATGGTTCGTGTGAAAAAATCAACATCAACGTGGTTGTGATCCATGCTGCATTTTTTGCAAGCTCTTGTCGCGAGGCCATATCGGCGAACGGGACGAAACTATGCGGGAGACGCGCACCGCTGGCGACGGACAAATACAAACGAGGCAGGGGGGGTAAAGAGACGACGGAGCGCGCTGGCTGCACGGGTCGAATCGCAGCTGGAGATTGTGACATTAGAACGGCGCGGGGTTGGGAAGGGTCGGTGCATTGTTTATAACGCCGTAAAGTCTTACCGGCCGCCTTGACCTAAAGAGCAAACTAGCACCGACTTCGCCATCAACAGTGTCTTGTCATCGTCATCAGCCGCGGTCGATTTACCGCTGGGTGAATGCCTCCCCATGCCACCGCCACCTCTCACGATCCCCCGCGATGCACTGCCAATGGCAACGCCTTGTAACGAATACAATCTATAGCAGCAGGCCGCGAGCGTTCGTCCTCTCCTCGCTCTGCGGAGGGGTGGTGGGGTGGGGCGGCCGAGTTGGGGTGTCCGCAGAAGCCCCCCTCCCCACCCTCCCCCGCCGGTGTTTCCCCGTCGCCCTCCGTGCGAAAAGGTGAGAGTCACGGGGGGGGGTGAGGGGGGGGGGGGGGTGACACGCGGACCGCCGAGGAGGACGCGAACCCACGGAGGCGTGGGCGCGGGGCGAGCGCGTGCCGGTGCTCGGGAACGACGCTGATGTTCACGCCGCCGCCGCCGCCGCCAGCGTAATTCCGGGGAATGGATGGCGCGCATTACGGCGCTGATTTAAATGGAGGAGCCTGCTCTGGAGGGCACTTAGCGCAGGGATGAGCAGCGATGCAAGTAATGAACGGCTCGCGTGCAGTTGTTATCGTCCCCGGCTTGTTCTTAACCGAAAACCGGCATTAGCGGTGGCTGTGGCGGTGGCGGCTGCACTCCCGCCCGCCCGCGTATGAGAGCGCGTACGTGCGTGCGTGTGTACGTGCGTGCGTGTGTACGTGCGTGCGTGCGTGCGCGAGTTGCGGGAGCGGTGGTGTAGCGGTTAGCGCGCCGCGCTACGAACCCGGCCACCCGAGTTCGATTCCCGCTCCCGTCCAACACCGGTGATGATTATCTGAACCGGTCCTCTCCTAGGTCGACTCATCCTAGTGCGGTGTGTAAACATTGCCACTGGGGAGACAAAGGCGGTCGGGCGTGGTGCTGGCCACCCACCCACCATCCGCCCCCTCCCCCCCCCCCCGTGTACCGTGGCAGCCTTCACAGGTGCTCTCTAATGGCACTTGCCCCAAAAGTCCGATAAGGTCGTTCTGGGGATCTTTGTCTTTGTGTGTGCATGCGTGGCTGCACGATGAACTGCCCTGGCTGCCAGCAGAGCCCATCTTTTGCGGGAGGCTGATTATGATTTTATGAGGAGAAATAAACGCGCGGGGCAGGGGATGTGACGCGAGGCGAGGTTTGGCGCAGCTCCTTCCGCGTGTGCGTGGGGAGCCAGAGTGGGGAGCGGTGGTACAGTGGTTAGCGCCCTGCGCGACAAAACCCCGCCAACTTTCGTTTGATTTCCAGCCAACGTCATCGGCCATCGATAACCTGATCAGGCCTGGTCTTCCGTTCTGTGGACTCGGCCTCAAGTGAGCGCCTCCTGCGCTATGTGCATGTATCTTGAACTTCTTTCGCACCGTACGTAGCCAACCGTGCTAACCGGAGGTTCGGTAGGTACTGGGGAGACAAAAGTGGCCTCTGGAAATATTTGTGCTTGGTCAGCTGCTCACTAATTAGCTGCCCTGGCAGCCTGTGAAGCTCTATGGGGGAATGTTTGTGCGTGTGAATGTTGGTGTGCAGGTGTGCGTGCGGGTATCCGTCAATCATCGCATGGCACCTCGGTCTGTCCCGTGAAATCCTGCCAGCGAGCCTTCGAATATTCACGTGGCCTCAAGAGCGCACCTAGGCTGGCACAAGTTGCCATGGTGACAACACCGGCACTTAGTGGCGATTGGCGACTGTTGTTGTTGTTGGATGTATGTGGTTCGCGTGAGCCTGTACGTGTGTGGCTGCGTTTGTGTGATTGTGTGTGTGCGTGCGTGTGTCTCCTGGGGGTTAATGATGATAGACTGAGCCGACTCTCAACGGAGATGTTAACTCGTGCTGTCTCATTGTTAGACGGGCGTTTTGGGACCGTGCCACCTGACGAGGTGTTTCCAGGGATAAATTTGACAGACAGCCACCCTTCACACCGCTCCCCCATCACACCGCTCCGCTCACCCATCACATCGCTCCCCCATCACACCGCTCCGCTCACCCATCACACCGCTCCCCCATCACACCGCTCTGCTCCCCCATCACACCGCTTCGCTCCCCCATCACACCGCTGCATCGCTCCAATGTTTCACACGTTTCTGATTGTCTAATCTTCAGTGCAAGGTTGTTACACAATAATTGATTTGGCCAATTAAGTGATATATTTTGCTCATAGTGTATGCATCAAATCACAATCGAGTACGGCAGGGTGCGGCTCAGTGGTAACACTCGAGTGCACCCCTTTGTTTCTCAATCGTAACAAATGTACAATGTTAATAAATGCGTAGGGTTTGATGAAACGAAGTGGTTGTACTTACGTGTGCCCGTGCTTCATTTATGTTTCGATAATTTACCTTCAAACAAAAATGTGGCCACGTCTCACACCCCTTAGGAAGGAGGGCAACTCGCACTCCCAGGGGGTGCGTGCACTCCCAGGGGGTGCGTGCACTCCCAGGTGGTGCACTCCCTGGTGGTGCGTGCACTCCCAGGGGGTGCGTGCACTCCCAGGTGGTGCACTCCCTGGTGGTGCACTCCCAGGGGGTGCACGCACCCCAGGGTAAGAACCGCTGCTCTCGTGCCTCCAGAGCAAGAAGGGCCTGGGTTCGCGACTCGGGCACCTGATGGCGTGAATTTGGTCTTTTAACCCCCTATTGCTGCATGGCTTTCCTGTGGATTCTCTGATTTCCTCCCATAGGTAAAAAGATACTATACCATGCAACTGGTATGGGCCAAACATCGCAATGCTGTGCAATGACCTGCATTTGCTCAGTCGGGATCGCAAACATTGCAAC